TTTTAGATTTTTTAAAATTTATTTATTTGAGAGAGAGAATGAGAAAGAGCATGAGAGGGGGGAGGGTCATAGGGAGAAGCAGACTCCCTGCTGAGCAGGGAGCCCGATGCGGGACTCGATCCTGGGACTCCAGGATCACAACCTGAGCCGAAGGCAGTCGCTTAACCCAATGAGCCACCCAGGCACCCTTATTTATTTTTAAATATTTATTTATTTATTGGAGAGGAAGAGAGAGAGCACAAGCGGGAGGGGCAAAGGGAGAGGGAGAGAGAATCTTAAACCGACTCCACACTGAGCGTGGAGCCTGAAATGGGGCTCGACCTTACAACCCTGAGAACACAACCTGAGCTGAAACCAAGAATCAGATGCTTAACTGACTGTGCCACCCAGGTGCCCCTATTTATTTAGAGAAAGAGAAAGAGAGAGAGACAGAGAGAGCATGAGGTGGGGGTGGGGAGAGGGAGAGATAGAATCCCAGGACGACTCCCCACCCAGCACAGAGCCTGACATGGGGCTTGATCTCATGACCCTGAGATTATGACCTGAACCGAAATCAAGAGTTGGATGCTTAACTCACTGAGCCACCCAGGTGCCCCAAGGCACAGAGTGATTTAAAGGAAGGACCATGGGCTTTCGAATCAGGCAGTTCAGGGTGTTAATCCAGCCTCCATCTCAACTATGCATGACCCTGGGCAAGTCATAAGGTTCTCTGAGCCTTTGTTCTTTCTTATCTCTGTGAAATGTGGTTCATAGTAATACTTGACCTATCAGGATGTTGTGAGAATTCATGCAAAGTGTTTAATACATGGTGAGAACGCCATACACTAGGAGGTGTTATTATATTTGTTGTTTCATCCTTGGTGCATGGTATAGACGTTCGAAGGTTGAGTTGTTTACTAAGTAGAACTGAATGTTCCTGAAATAATTGCCAACAGGGTTTTATTTATTTTATTTTATTTTTTTAAAGATTTTACTTATTTATTTGACAGAGAGAGACCCAGCGAGAGAGGGAACACAAGCAGGGCGAGTGGGAGAGGGAGAAGCAGGCTCCCTGCTGAGCAGGGAGCCTGATGTGGGACTCGATCCCAGGACCCTGGGATCATGACCTGAGCCAAAGGCAGACGCTTAACGACTGAGCCACCCGGGCGCCCCAACCAACAGGGTTTTAAAATGGGGATGCCTTCTTTTTTGACTCTTTGCAAGGGCCTCTTTGAATGCATTTGAATGTTCTCTGAACATACATTTACTGAACTTTTTGTGCAGCAAGGAGTAGAGGTAGGAAGAAGGAAGCTTCCTGGAAATGGCCTGATACTCCATCTGAGATTTAAGAGGGGCTCCACCCTCTTAGAAGGCTGAAAACTGTACTTACTAATGGTGAGGCATTTGATTAGTCTTTGCTGTATGCCAGGCACATTGCTGGGCTCTGGGGACACCTGTGGTCCCTGTGTTAGTAGAGATGACCCATTGGGGCAAAGACAGGCTTTAGTACCTTGTTACCTAATTACATATTTGAGGAGTGCTCCAGAGGAGAGAAATTTGGTTCCTGAGAGCCAGTAACAGGGGTTTGGGATCTAGTCCCTTTAGCAAGTAACACTTCCAGGGAGGCCTGAAGGTTAGGAGAGCAGGGAGGAGCATCCCAGAGGTTGGGCAGAGGAGTTTGAGTTGAGGGTAACGGAGGATGGGCCAGAGTGCCTGTTGCTTCAGGATGAGGGCTGGAGAGACACCACAGGGCCACTGGCTGCCCAACTGCTCTTCTCCTTGCTCCTTCCACTCCTCATCCAGTGCTTTCCCTTTCAGCCTCCTCCTTTCTGGCACCTATCCCTGCTCAAGACTCCCCCCCACCCCCCGCCCTGCCCCGGATACATTACCCCAACTGTCCTGCTTGCCCAAGGTATAATACTCTCTCTAGCATACTAAGCATAGTCTGATCCTTTGTTCATTCATTCATTCATGGCTTTCTTTTCACAAATAAGCCATATAAAACTTGAATGCCACAAAGAGAAAAAAAATGAAATTTAAATCACCCAGAGGCAACTGCTATCAATATTTGGATCTATACTCCTAGGTTTTGTTAGAAATATATATTATAAGGATATATATTATATGATATATAATATCATAAAAACAGGATACACTGCATAAATTGAGTTTTTTTTTTTTTTTTTTTTTTTAAGATTTTATTTATTTATTTGAGACAGAGAGAATGAGAGAGAGAGAGAGCACATGAGAGGGGGGAGGGTCAGAGGGAGAAGCAGACTCCCCGCAAAGCAGGGAGCCCGATGCGGGACTCGATCCAGGGACTCCAGGATCATGACCTGAGCTGAAGGCAGTCGCTTAACCAGCTGAGCCACCCAGGCGCCCGCATAAATTGAGTTTTATAAAAACTTTAATATGCAGGGCGCCTGGGTGGCTCAGTTGTTGGGCATCTGCCTTCGGCTCAGGTCGTGATCACGGGGTCCTGGGATCGAGCCCCGCATCAGGCTCCCTGTCAGCAGGAGGCCTGCTTCTCCCTCTCCCACTCCCCACTGCTTGTGTTTCATTTCTCACTGTCTCTCTTTCTGTCAAATAGATAAATAAAATCTTTTTTTTTAAAGATTTTATTTATTCATTTGAGACACAGAGATACAGAGAGAGAGAGAGAGCATGAGCAGTGGGAGAGGCAGAGGGAGAGGGAGCAGACTCCCAGCTGAGCCAGGAGCCCGATGTGGGGCTCGATCCCAGGACCCTGGGATCATGACCTGAGCTGAAGGCAGATGCTTAACCATCTGAGCCACCCAGGCGCCCCTAGATAAATAAAATCTTAAAAAAACACAACACTTTAGGGGCGCCTGGGTGGCTCAGTCGTTGGGCGTCTGCCTTCTGCTCAGGTCATGGTCCCAGGGTCCTGGGATCGAGTCCCACATCGGGCTCCCTGCTCAGCGGGAAGCCTGCTTCTCCCTCTCCCACTCCCACTGCTTGTGTTTCCTCTCTTGCTGTGTCTCTCTCTGTCACATAAATAAATAAAATCTTTAAAGAAATAAAAAAAGCTTTAAAAAAACCCCAAAAAACCCCACAACACTTTAATATGCTGCACATTTTGCCACATTTAAATATCTATATAACAACACTGTCAATGGCCACCTGAGATTCTATACCATGTGTCAGAAATACTCAATTATAGGCCTACTATACATTCTTTCTCAAATATTTATTTATTTTTAAGATTTTATTTATTTATTTGAGAGAAAGAGTGAGTGAGAGAGAAAATGAGCATGGGGAGCAAGAGAGGCAGAGAGAGAAGCAGGCTCCCCACCTGAGCTGAAGGCAGATGCTTTTTTTTTTTTTTAAAAGATTTTTATTTATTTGACAGAGAGACAGCAAGAGAGGGAACCCAAGCAGGGGAAGTGGGAGAGGGAAGAGCAGGCTTCCCGTGGAGCAGGGAGCCTGATGCGGGACTCGATCCCAGGACCCCGGGATCATGACCTGAGCCAAAGGCAGACGCTTAACGACTGAGCCACCCAGGCGCCCCTTTCTCAAATATTTTGTGAGCACCTGTTGTGTGGCACCACTTTGCTTGGAAATTTAGGGTGACTGCAAGATCCTACTATTATCATAGTAATGTTATTATAAATGAGGTGCTAGTGACTTTCCTTGGCGCTCAACATTTGGGCAGATCTGTAATTGTTGACACAGGAAAAATTCCGGAAGTAGGCTTTCTAGATTCAAGAAGAGACTTTAAGATTAAATTACCCTCCAATTAGGTTTTACCAATTTACACTCACACCTACTTCCTGTCTTTAACTGCTTGATAATGTCCATTACTTTCTCTACTTCCTTTTTTTTTTTAAGATTTTATTTATTCATATGAGACACAGAGATAACAGAGAGAGAGAGAGAGAGAGAGAGAGAGAAAGCATGAGCAGGGAGAGAGGCAGAGGGAGAGGGAGGGGAGAAGCAGGCTCCCTGCTGAGCCAGGAGCCCGACCAGGGCTCGATCCAGGACCCCGGCATCACGACCTGAGCCGAAGGCAGACACCCAACCATCTGAGCCACCCAGGCGCCCTACTTTCTCTACTTCCTTCTTTCATTCTTAAAGCCTCTGCAGGCCAAATTTTGTTCCCCCTACTCCACTGAAATTATTCTCACTAAGGTCATCAGGTATCATCCAGAGTGTCAGTTTCAGTGATTGATCTATTTTTGGGCCTTATCTTCATTGACCTGTTTGGGTCATTTAATACCTCTGACCACTCTTCTCTTCCCGAAATATTTACCTTCCTTGGTCAAGTAAAGCAGGTCCAGTCTTACTAGCTTTATTTGACATCTAGGAAACCGAGGCCTGAAGAGGTACCCAGTCTATCAAAGAGGGCATTTAATAAGTTCAACATACATACATCTCTGGGCTCTGCCTGACACACGATAGTGGTAGTTATGTGGGCCTTTAATTTCGATTTAACAAGCATTTTTCTATATTCGACCTCATTTGTGCCTTCCGATTATCCAACCAAACTCTACCTCCGCAGATGGATATTTTAAATCATTATTTTATCGCGGCAGAGACCGAGGATCAGAGGGCGAGCACTTGGGCCCGAGGTGGCCGCCAACTGGGAGCACCCAACTTCTCAGCGGGCTCTGCAACCCCAGGCCCCACAGCTCGTCAGCCCGCCGCGACCGCAGCCTCCCGCCCTCGCAGCCTGCCGTCCCCGGAGCCTCCCGTCTTCGCCTCTGCGTCTGGCCGCCCAGCGCCATCTTTGAGCCTGGCACCGTGCCGTACTTCCGCCCTTCCCTCCCCCCCCAACCCAGGGGTAGCCGCGCATGCCCAAGCGTGCCCCTACTGGGAAGAAGTATCCAAAAGTGGCCAGGCTTGTCTCATACTGACCAAAAATAATAATTTATCTCGTTCTCTCAGGTCTTGGAGGAGGAGGTCTGACCAATTCAAAAATGGTGGGGCTAGCCTCACCACCCCTGTCTTCCGCTTTGTAGGCTCAGGGGCGAAGGTCACGTCGGAGTGCGCAGGCACGACGGGGCGGAGCTATCTCCATGGCAACCCGCGCGCAGCCCAGGCAGCTTGGCCGGGCGGGAAGTGCGGGAGCTGAGACGCTGGCTACAGGCGGGGCTGCGAGCGCCGAGGGGCCCGGGCGGCCTGGGCCGCTGCAGGACGAGACCCTGGGCGTGGCGTCGGTGCCCTCGCAGTGGAGGGGCGCCCAGGGCATCCGCCGGGAGACGGTGAGGGCGCGGGCCCGGCTCGGGGCGACGTGGGCAGGAGGGCGAGGGTCCGCGCGCGGTCTCCGGGCCAGGTTCTGGCGTGCCACCAGGTTATTTTTGTATTTTCACCCACAGAGCCAAACCCTTGCGGTATTCTGGTGCGTTTCCTCAGACTCTGAGCCACCACATAAGGGGTTTTTCCTTAAGACTTCTGAAGACCCCCTGTTTTGAAGGATTTTATGTGAACCGCCGTTTTTAGGCATTTCAAACTAAATTTTCTTAAAAAAGATTGCATTTCAAGGTCGAAATACGCCGGTTTTCTAGGAGCGTAATCAAAAGCACACACAGCGAGGTTTTTTGAGGAATTGAGGGGCAGGGCTCCTGGGCGCCAGGTCTTCTCAGGCTTCGCGCAGACTCTGAGGGCCTGCTGTGTGCCAAGAGCTCTTCCCTCTTGGAGCTGACGTGGGGCCGTTTGCAGGGCACAACCAATAGGCAGCCTATGTGATAAGTAAATTATGCTGTGTGTTCGTTAGGAGGTGAGTAGTGCCACGGACGAATGTAAAAGAAGGGTGAGGGATTGGAGGGACTGGGTTGGAGAGTGAGGGGGTAGGTGGCCTCATTGAGAAAGTGACATTTGAGGAGTGAGAGAGTTAGCCAAGTGGATACGTGGGGTAGAGTAGCCAGGCAGGGCAAACTGCAAGTGCAAAGGCCCTGGGGTTGGAGCAGATCTTGCGTGTTTGAGGAGGCAGCCGCGCTGGGGAGGAATGAGAGAAAGGGAAATGGTCCCAGTGGAAGTCAGAGTAGGTAAGCAGAGGCAGGTCAAGTAGGGTCTTGAAGATCATTGTAAGGATGTTGGCTTTTCCTCAGTGAAAATGGGGAGCATTGTAGGGTGCTGCACATTTACCACGGGAGTGGCCAAACCTGCAGAGCTTAGGTCCTCACCAACACCAATGAGCTTTCCATTAAGTCTTACTCTTTTTTTTTTTTTTTTAAGATTTTATTTATTTATTTGACAGAGAGGGACACAGCGAGAGAGGAAACACAAGCAGGGGGAGTGGGAGAGGGAGAAGCAGGCTCCCCGCGGAGCAGGGAGCCCGATGCGGGACTCGATCCAGGGACTCCAGGATCATGACCTGAGCCGAAGGCAGTCGCTTAACCAACGGAGCCACCCAGGCGCCCGAAGTCTTACTCTTGAAGACCGGTTTCTTGCCTCAGGTCAACAGTCTGCATGCAGGTCTCAAGCCAGGATTTGATGTGGCTTCAGAGCACTTCCCACTTAACCATGCTGCCTAGAAACCTTGTAGTGCAAAGCCAAGTGGATATTTATAAATAAGTTAAATTTAAGTTAAATCGGGCGCTTGGGTGGCTCAGTCGTTAAGCGTCTGCCTTCAGCTCAGGTCATGATCCCAGGGTCCTGGGATTGAGCCCCGCCTCGGGCTCCCTGCTCCGTGGGAGGGTTGCTTCTCCCTCTCCCACTCCCCCTGCTTGTGTTCCTGCTCTCACTGTCTCTCTGTCAAATAAATAAATAAAATCTTTAAAAAAAAAAAATTAAGTTAAATCTGTCCATCCTTATCACAGGTAAACGTATAATTCACATTTACTGGCCTTTAAGAACACTTGAAATAACTCTTGTTTGCCGAAGACCCAGATTCTAGAAGACTTTAGGTTGGAGACCACGGTTCAGTCTAACTTTTTTTCTTAGAGAATGAAATGGAGGCAGGTTCATTTTCTTTCTTTCTTTCTTTCCTTTCTTTCCTTTCTTTCCTTTCCTTCCTTTCCTTCCTTTCCTTCCTTTCCTTCCTTTCCTTCCTTTCCTTCCTTCCTTCCTTCCTTTTTTCATTTTCTTGTGACTATAGTTTTAACCTGTAGGATTCTAAGAACAAATTCAAACACTTGAGGTCTAAGAGCTTTCATCTGTGAGGGTGATTTCCTTGGACTAGCATCTCCTGTCTTATTGAAGGAGATTTTTGATTAAGTTGTAAGAATGTTGCAGGGGTCGGAAGAAGGAGCTAAACTGCTTTTTCCAAATTAACTTTTTTCTCTTTATAGAAGTTAATGTGTCCAAAATGTAGAAAAAACCTGGCTGCACACACACACAAAAGGAAATAAAAATCACCCAATTCCCCAGTCATTTGGTTTGTACCTGTCACAACTGTGTTGTCTGTTTTTTTAAAAACAAATGGACTCACACTGTACACAACATTTTGCAGACTGCAACAAATTTCCACGTTAAAAATTTTTTTTTGTAATTTCATTTTATTTAACCATTCTCTTTTGGTGGGTTTTTAGGCAGTTTCCAATTTTTCTTTTATCAACAAACCCCATGGTGAGTGTTTTAGCTAACTTTTACTTATTTACTTTAAAATTTTTTAAGCTAATTTTTAAATACAGTTCCTTAATTTTTTTTTTTTTAAAGTCTTTTTGGAAAAGTTGAACATTGGTCTCTGTTTGGCCCATGTAGTGGTGCAATATTTGAATGTACTTCCACGTTCCAGTGATGAATTTCTTTTTTCTTTAAAAAATTTATTATTATTATTTATTTATTTATTAATTAAAGATTTTATTTATTTATTTGACAGAGACACAGCAAGAGAGGGAACACAAGCAGGGGAAGTGGGAGAGGGAGAAGCAGGCTTCCCGCAGATCAGGGAGCCCGATGCGGGGCTTGATCCGGATCATGACCTGAGCCGAAGGCAGACGCTTAATGACTGAGCCACCCAGGCACCCCTAAAAAATTTTTTTTAAAAGATTTATTTATTCTAGAGAGAGAGAGGGTGGGAAGGAGAGGGAGAGAGAATCTCTAGCAGACTCCCCACTGAGTGCGGGGCCTGACCCCACGACCCTGAGATCATGACCTGAGTGGAAACCAAGAGTCAGACACTGAACCGACTAAGGCACCCAAGTGCCCCTTTTTACATTTTTTTTTAAGATTTCATTTTTTAAGTAATCTTTACCCCCAATGTGGGGCTCGAACTCACAAGCCAGGTGCCCCTTTTTTGCTTTAATATTAATGGTCTTTGGCCTGACTTGACTCTTCTTGTCATATTCCAATCTGTTCACAGAGGGATAGTGTCCTGGACTTTGGTTTGAGACTGGGGTGCACACACTCTTTAGGGCTTTGGGCCAGTCACATGATCTCTTCTTCTGCATAGTGGGTCCTTGTGAGAATACTTCCTGAGGGGTTAAATGAGATTGTGGGTAAGAGAGCAGTTTGAGGGGCGCCTGGGTGGCTCAGTCGTTAAGCATCTGCCTTCGGCTCAGGTCGTGATCCCAGGGTCCTGGGATCAAGCCCCGCATCAGGCTCCCTGCTCGGCGGGAGGCCTGCTTCTCCCTCTCCCACTCCCCCTGCTTGTGTTCCGTCTCTCTCTGTCAAATAAATAAATAAAATCTTAAAAAAAAAAAAAAAGCAGTTTGAAAGCCTGGAGCTGCTCAGGTGGATGGTATGGGAGTGTCAGGCAGCTTCCTAGCTGCCTGAGATGGAGGGTATGTAATTATCCCTCTTTGCTCATCCGATATTTCTCAAACTTGGCTGACACTGGAATGTCCTGGAGACTCTTGAAAAATATGGATGTCTGGGTCCTACATTCAGCGATTTCAGCTTAATTGGTATGTGGTATGACGTGGGAATCTGGTTTTATTAAAGCTTCCTAGGTCATTCATTATAATAGGTAGCAAAATTTGAGACCACCAATTGAATGCATCCTATTTCCAACAGCATTACCTTCCTGAAGCCCAATTCTGATCCTAGGAGAATGTGGGGTGTGTTTTTTTCCTTTTTTAAAAAATTGTGGTGGGGCACGTGGCTGGCTCAGCGGTAGAGCATGTGAGTCTTGATCTCAGGATCGTGAGTTCGAGCTCCATGTTGGGCATAGAGATTACTTAAAAATAAATAAAATTGTGGCAGGAGACATATAATAGTAATTTTACTGTTTTTAAGTGTACAGTTGAGTGGTGTCAGGTACATTCACAAGGTGCCAACAAGCACCACTATCTGGTTCCAGAACTTTTTCATCCATGGGATGCATTTTGGACATTCAGATCTGTCTTCCTTGGACTGTGAGCTCCCAGAGGGCAGGGGAGTGAGTCTTGTGTACTTTTGTACCTCCCAAAGGCACCCAGGAAACACTGGATTTTTTTTTAAGATTTTATTTATTTATTTGACAGAGAGAGAGACACAGTGAGAGAGGGAACACAAGCAGGGGGAGTGGGAGAGGGAGAAGCAGGCTTCCCGCCGAGCAGGGAGCCCGATGCGGGGCTCGATCCCAGGACCTGGAATCATGGCCTGAGCCGAAGGCAGACGCTTAACGACTGAGCCACGCAGGCGTCCCAGGAAACACTGGATTGAATAATTTTCCTGTGTGCTGTTATCCCACACAGGGTACATCTCTTCTCTCCTGCTTTGAATTAAATTAGCTGCCTACCCGCGGGCTTTTCCTCCTTCCCTGACTGGCTGCTGCTTTGACGCCCTGGTGGCTTCTGTAGCCTATGTCACCCCCTGCTGGAAGGTGTTTTTTTTTTTAACCTGGGGCCTGGCCTCTTAATGATTTTCAAGGAGAATTCAATCTGTGGTTCTCTACCTTTGAGTTTGCTAGACAGTGTCGATACTGGATTTTTTTTTTTTTCCCAAAGAGCATGAGAAGAGATTAAGAGGCTAAGACGACACCAAGATAGTCTGCAGTAACTATAGCTCAAAGGTGGTCTAGCACCTCGGCAGCTCCCAGCTTCTATGGAAATGTCTGCTGTTGCCCTCCACACGGGGCTGCCTCCCGGCTCCTCGTCGTCCTTCGAATAGCTCTTTGTTGCCCTGATACACTCAAGAGGCAAGTTCGTCCGAACAGGAGGCTGTGCCTTGATGTCGGTTCCAGGCTCAGTTACTCCACGCTCGTGGAGGTGTCCTGGGACAGTTGTCCATACTGCGTCACGAAGCCCGCTCGGCTCAACTTTGCGCCCAAGACGTTCCCGCCGCACCTTGTCTGCTTGTTAGTGGTGAATTGCACCTCACCTGGGTCCCCTCGAGGTGG